TCATCACTGCGCTCTGCTGACTCCTCCTGTTGACAGATTTCATGAGGCCCTCTTTTATGGACCCCAGGTTCTTTCTGTTCTCCTTCTTGTTCTTGTTCCTCTCCTTCTTCTTCCTCTTCTCTTTTACCTTCCTCTTCCTTTTCTTCCTCTTCTCTTTATCCTTCCTCTTCTTTCTCTTCTTCCTCCACTTCTCCTCTCCTCTTTCTTCTTCCTCTTCTTTCTCTTCTACTTCTTCCCTTTCTCCTCCTCCTCCTTCCTCTTCTTGTCATGGCATCTGCAGGTTTTGGTTGGCAAAGAATACATGGCAACTATTGGCTCAAGCTGGAGGCAGAAGGAGGAGAAAGGAGCCTGTGCTTCTCCTTGGTCTAGCTTCCATTGTGATCAGCCCTCTTCCAGATTCCCTCTCCAGTGAGGGCAGACTTGACAGAGAGCCCCATGCCAACAGCGAAAATGCTCGGCCAAACCTTGGTGCCACCAACCTCTCTGTCATCCAATCGGTACTCTGGCTATCAGAGTAAGCTTCTGAGACACAAGCCACGATTCATACCAGCTCCCCTTCCCCCCAACTGGGCCACCTACCGAAGTCACTTCAGCTCTGTGAGCCTGTTTTTCTGTCTGAAAAATGGTGATAATAATTGCATCTATCTCAAAGAACTGCTTTGTGGATCAAATGCAATAACAACAACAACTGGGTAGAGTATGGGATAGTTTCTAATGCTGCTTTACTTTTGTTCTAACGAAAGTGCCTGGTACATAGAGGTATCTCCCCCTCCCTTTATTCATCAGTCATCTCAATTTGGTGAACCCATCCTTTAAAGCCCAGCTCAAATGTTCCCTTATTTGTAAAGCCCTCTCAGGCACCAAGACAGCACTGTCTTGTCCTTTCCCTGTGGTCTTTCTCGACATTGTACTTACTTCCATCACCACCAGGGTTGATAGTCTGGATATTCAGCAACTGGTGGGGTGTGGACATTGCCTCATCAGAAGGTAGCTGGCCTTGGTGCTGACAGCTGTCAGGTATGGCAGTTGCTGAGCTGTGAGGAGGTCCCGAGGTACAGGGGAGGGAGGCGGTGGCTTTGGTGACTCAGGGGGATAGGGTGGTGACAGGGTCTATTAACCAACTAGGGTGCAAGTTTTTGAATATTCGACAACTGAGGAGGAAATGGTGCTCACTGACTCAATCTCAGCCCTAATTACAATCCTTATCTCACTGTAGTGCAGTCTTCTGTTGACTACCAGACTGAGCCCTGGAGTTCAGGAAGAGTGTTTCATTCATCTCTGTCTCCCTGATGCCTTGAACAGAGATGGTTGAGTGGAGATAAAGAACATGAATGAGGCTGTGAAGGGTCCCTAAATCATCTCCTTGGGACCCTCCATTTGGATTTGGGCTCTGACTGAGCAAGAGGGCTTCAGGTTATCTTTAGCTCACCAACTAGGATTTCAATAAGACACAACCCTGAATTTGCATATTCACATATGCAGATATGCCCCTTGATGTAATGTGCCTATCCTTGATTTTTTAAAGAGCCGTGTATTGGAAATACCTGCAGTGGAGTGTGGCAGGAGCCAGGGCATAGAAGACCCTCCACACTCAGGCTCCTGCTTATCCCCAGAACCCCAACTCTTGCCCTGGAATTCTGCTTCCATCCCCGACTCCAGTCTTTGTTTCCCGCTTCCTTTGGCTGATTCTTGCTCACCACTAGTTTCTCAGTCGTTGCCTTCTCTGCCCCAACCTAATGCTAACCCTAGTATCCCTTCCCTGCCTGCCACCTCCCACCCCATCTCAGCATCTCTGCATTAATTGTTGTGTGTTGTCTTTTACATTTTTTACCTTGTCTGTCTCACTTCTCTTAAGAAGGCACAGACTGTTCTATATTCACCGGATCCTGAGAGCCATGGCGGAGCTGACCCTTGATAGATGTTTTGGGAGATAATTGGTAGATTTGAATGAGTGATTGGATGGATTCTTCAGGGGCAAGGACTCTGCTGTTCTCTTTAACAGGGAGCTCAGGAAAATCCTGGGCCGGGACTCTCAGAAAACCTGGGGTCCAAACTGGCACCTTTGTCCATCTCTGCCTTTTGCAGGAGAGAGGAGGAGAAAGGGTCTAGCGTGGAGGGCACTCAGAGGGCTAGACTTGGGGGTATCTGATGCCCCCAGAAGTCAGGCAACCAGGAATGGGGTGGGGTGAGCCATTAGGGCTGCAGCTGCTATTTGGGACAGAGGGAGCTGAGAGCAGAGGAAGCTGGCGGGCGGGGGCGGGGGCCTGGCTCTGGTCCCAAGTCATGCACGGACTAGCCTGGACCTGGAACTGTACTATTATTACTACGACTACTCCTACTATTACCAGTGCTAACTATTGTCGCTACCCCATTGTTATACCCATGGTTACTCTCACTGCTGCCACTACTATTATTAGTAGTGAGCATGAAGTAGCATTTCCCCACTTGTCTGTTGCCATCTAAAACCTTTACTTAGGAGCGCCTGGGTGGCTCAGTCCTTAAGCGTCTGCCTTCGGCTCAGGTCATGATCCCAGGGTCCTGAGATCGAGCCCTGCATTGGGCTCCCTGCTCCGCGGGAAGCCTGCTTCTCCCTCCCCCACTCCCCCTGCTTGTGTTCCTGCTCTCGCTCTCTCTCTCTGTCAAATAAATAAATAAAAATAGTAAAAAAAAAAATAAAACCTTTACTTACATCAAGTCCCTGAATCTCCATACCATACCTCCTAGGAGGCAGGTCTCATTGTTCTGCAGATTTACAGAAAACTGAGGCACAGAAAGTTTATGGAACTTGCCCAAGGTCCCAAGGTTGGTAAGTGTAGAGGCGTGAGCACCCAGGATGCTGTAGTCGTAACACCCATGAATATTTGCTGAGTTCTTCCCCTGTGCCAAGCACTGGGATCAACCGTTTACAGTATCACTTTGCTTTTGTCCACACTGCAGGGTTTTTGAAGAAGAGACTTATTCTCTGCATTTTTTTAACAGATGAGGAGACAGGGATTCCGAAAGGTTTAAGTAACTCTCCGTATCTCAGAGCCAGGATTTGACGGCATCATCATAGCCCCGTGTTTTGAAAGACTCCAACTTGACATAGCCCACGGAAGTCATTTCTCTTCTCTGAGTCTCAGGTTCTTAGTCTCTCTTCTTGGAATCAGGGCACTGAGCTGGGTGAGCTCTTAACGCCTGTCCCTTCCAGGTATGGGTGAGCTCTCAGCTCTTCTGATAGGGGTTGGGCCCATGGGAGACACTGAGGCTTCAAGACCCAACAGCCAGGCTGGTTCCTCACCAGCTGGTGTGGGAGGACCCCACTTTTTTTTTTTTTTTAGGACCATCCAACCTTTCACAACATCTTGACAGACCTAGCCTGTTAGGGAACCATCAGGCAGGTGATCAAATAAGCCAGCTGCTCCCACTGGCTCTTTTTAGTGAGGGTCAGCGGGGGCCACCAAGTGGGCTGCCACAAATACCAGGACCAGAGAGACTGGATGATTTTGACTTGCTTCTTCTACTTCTTAGGCTTTTATTCTGAATTGATTTCTAACTTCGCAACAATTCTCCTGGGAGACAAATGAGATCATCATGCCCATTTTCCAGGTGAGGAAGTTGAAGCCGGGAGGGGTAGAAGGAATTGTCCAGCCAAGCCAAGCCTCCCACCCAGGCCTCCAGACTCTTTGCCATGCTGGGAAGACCTTTTATAGGACATCAGCGGAGGGGGAAATGCAGGTGGGCGTTTTCCATCTGCAAAATACTCAGCAACCAAAGACACCTCTACAAAGGGGGGCCCTGGGAACGCTGTGGATGCTAGGCAGAGGATTTGGGCAAAATGAGACCTTGGTGGCACAGGGTGCCTCGACTGGTAAAGAAGAGTTTCCCAGAATGCACTGCAGGTGATAACTTGCGTCAACCGGGCCCAACTAGTGTTTATCATCGCCTTCCCTTCCTTGACCTTCCTGCAAGCACCCCGAGCTTCTCCTCACTTTCATGTCACCTGAAATTTACAACTTCACCCATACCTAGAGGAGACAGGTCCCTTCCAGCGGCCAGCCGTGGTTGTAGGCTATGTCCATGTTGTGTCTCCTCCTGCTTGTGTATCTGTCCCTTTAGCATCAACAAAAGGCCTTCGTGTACTCTATCTTATTGGATGTCCTCACCAATCCCATATGAAAGTGGTATTATTGCAAGTTTACCAATGAGAACACTCAGTTTCAAAGAAGGGAAGTGACTTTCCCAAAGCCACACAACTAGGGAGTAGCAAAGCTAGGACTTGAGTTCAGCTCCAACCCTGAATCCCTTGCTCAGGAAACTTCCTGGCATCAGACTGTCTGAAGTCACATTCCGGCTCCTCCTTGTGGACCTGAGGGAGCGTCACGTGATTCCATTCAATGCTGGGCTGCTAAATCGGATTCATAACCTCTCTGAGCCTTGGTTTTTCAGTCCCATCTGTGGAAGGGACCAGGGAGAGCAGCCACGCCCTCGATGCCCTGAGACCTTGTGTGGACACATGAGAGGACACAGATCAAGCGCTAGGAGCTCTGTGAAGGAAAATTCTCATATACTTTCAAGGCCGTGTTTCTATAGGTGAAATCAAATCCCGGCCGCTAATCAATGCTGCAGGCCAGCTGGCATCAAAGATGCAGACTTCACTGGAAAGCTGGAATGCCTTGGCTACATCAAAGACCCCCCTCTCTTCCTTCCTCCCCAAAGAAACCTGCTACGGTGTCTCACACATGCATTCCTGCAGATATCACTCTGGAGACCAGCGTGTATTTTTCAATACTCCCCCAATAGAAAGCCTGGGTACTTTAGCTTTGCTTCCTCCCCCAACCGAGTGCTGCCAAAGGCTGGTGAATGACCACTTTGTTAATCAATAAGGAGGTCTGAAAGCCAGTGGGGTGTTTGCCCAAAACTCAGTTAAAATGTGCCGTACACTGCCCTGAACTTGCGCCTTCACCTTACCCCGAGGGTCACGGCCAAGACTGGCCGAGAAGGCCGTGTGGAATACTTACTACACCCCTGGCCGACAGGAGGCTGAGCATCCGGAGGGGCTGGCTGGGCGGGTGGCTGGAGCGGGCCTCGGGGCTGGCCTTGCCGAGGGTCCTGGAGTAGCGGCGGGAGTGCCTTCGGCGGGACTTCCGCCCTTCCTCGGGGGACCTGCCGCGGTGCCTGGGGGAGCGGGAGAGAGAGATGAGAGGGTCTTCGGAAGGGGAGTGTGGCAGAGAGGTGGCTGCAGGGCCCACAGGATCGGAGGGCTATAGGATGTGTCTGGGACTGCTTATATAAATGACATGTGCTTCCATCCATCTCTCCATCCACCCCCCCACCCCCGACCTGCTCATTTGTTCATTCACTCCTTCTCTCATTTGTTCATTTGACAAATGTACCTGACTCTGTTTGGGGGGTGCTGGGAAGGCAGCTGGGAAGGCAGAAGATGTCCCAGCCTGACTTGCTTTCATGTCCTGGGTGTGTGGGACTGTCTATCGGTATGTTTGTACATGACTGTGTGTATGTCTGGGTGTGTCCATCTGTGTTTGTCTATAAATATGACGGCGCCTATCTGTATGTCTTCGAGTATGTGCTTGACCATCTGTAAAATAGACGCATCCCAGTGACTGTCACCCAAAACTTTTGAAAAAAGAGTAGCTGACAAAAATAACAAGGAGGCCTTCTGTAAGCCTGTCAGACCCTGGGCTGCCCTGTCTGCTGCGGAAAGTGAAGGAATCTCTGACTCTTTAAGGGTATATTTTAGACTCTGCTGGCCTATTAGCTCTGGGCCACAGGAGTAATAAAGGTAACACCCTATTGATTTGCAATCCCCTCTTGGGGCAGTTCTCAGTCCTCTCTCCAACTTGAAGACACAACACAAACAAGGCAGGTAGTTCCCATTTTACAGATGAGGACGCTGAGGCTCAGAGCTCTTTGGGGACCCGCTGGAAGTCACACAGCTTGTGAGTGGCAGAACAGGGCCAGGGCAGGGTTTTCTGCCCCGAGAGGGACCGATGCCTCTTGGTCATGCTCTGGAATGTCCCTCTGTGCTCTGGGGCCTCCAGATCATTTTTATTGGCTGTGTGGCCCCAGAGCCGGCTCTCAGGTTGCTTCGATGCCCCCTGGAGTGTCCCTCAGCCCAACAGGCACGGGGGAGCTCAAGCAGCAACACCCCAGAAGAGGTGACTTAAGAAGGGGACAGAGGCTGGGCTCTGCAGTGGGAGCCATCTCCCTAAGCGGTAAGGCAGAGGGCAGGGCAGAGGGCAGCAAGCTGTCTGCACCATCCTCTGACCCGTCCAGTGGGGCTGAGCTGCTGAGAGCTGATTCAGCATGGGCTGGAGGTCAAGGGCTCTGTCTGAGCCAGTCGCTGCGACCTTGCTCGGATGCCTGTGCTCGCCACGATGCAGTCTTCTCAGTTGTACCACATCAGTAATGCAGCTGAGCTCAGTGAGCCGATGCCCTCCAAAGGCCAGCAGGAGCATGCCTGTGGCTGAATAAGCTTGTTTACGGCTCCTTGCAGCGAGGGAGAGCATGCGCCACAGGAAGCGGAGAATGTCTCTGTACGAGTGTTGGGAAGAGCCTATTATGGGCGGGTGGCAGGTGACTTTAAGGAGCGTTTAAGGAACTGGGGCTTTGTTCTGGATTAGATGCTAGCACTAAGTGGAGGTCAGACTCTCACTAGGTATCTTCATAAATCTTGGGCCCTAGACCAAGGCCAAAGCTCTAGCTGGTCAGGAAATAGCAGTCCCTCGTGTTAGCCAGGATAGAGAGATGCTGGGTCACTTTTGTGTTTTGGACAAAGTTCCTGTGTCATTGGGGCTCTGACCTGACTACCGAGGGATTTTGTTTTTGTCTTGATCACTCAGGATCCCAGAGCAACCTTGCCTGATGCCAACGCTCTTTACAGTTGTTGGCGTCCAGCGGGAACACCGAGGCCTATGAGTGATAGCAGCACGTGTCAGGGATGTTTTCCTCTTCTTCAAATACTTCTCGCACTTGGCTCCACACTGGCATCACGGGGGAGGATTTAAAAATCTCGCCGCCCCGGCCCCGCCTCATCTGAACAAGATCAGAACACCTCGAGGGTGGGATCCAGGAATCGGTATTTTAAAATTCTTCCAAGGTGACTGCAAAGTGCAGCCCCAGTCTAGCTCATGGTGTTCTTGGGATGATCAAGAGGGAAAATGTATTTGAAACTGTAGCACCGAGTAAGACTTCAACAAATATGCCCCCTCTCCTCCATCCCCTTCTTCCTCCAGACACCGGTTTAACTGGGATGCAGTGGGACCAGGACAGTGGCATTTTTAAACCTCAGGCGACACGAACACGTAGCCAGGTGTGTGGGATGCACTTGAGGAAGGATGAAGCAGCCTCTGACATCCGGAAGCTGGCCTTGCTGTGTCTGCTGGACAGCGCCGGTTTCAAAGATCAGCATCCACAAAGTCCCACTCTTTGTTGTTGTTCTTCTTCTCATCCACGAGAGAGCCCTCCTCCCCCTCCTCCAACCGGCACAGCCGATGTCCAAGTTAGGAGAAACCAGACTTGGAAGGGCCTCAGAACTTGGGACTTGGGCTGTGTGGCGTTTCATAGGTTGCTCAGCCTCTCTGTGCTTAGAGCAACCCTCAGTGAGAGGGCCAAGCCCAGAGCCGGACTCCCCAGTCCAATCCTAGCTCTGTCACTTAGCAGCTACACGACTAACAAGTCCTTAACCTCCCTGTGCCTCAGTGTCCTCATCTTTACAATGGGGGAGAGCAATAGTAGCTACTTCATAGGGTAGTAGAGGGGATTGTGTGGTTGATACAGGGAGAGGGCTCACGCCCCACACGGTGGCAACGGCGGGGGGGGGCACTCGGAAGCACACGTGTGCGCACGGGCCACTGCTGTTGTCCCTAGACACGGAGGCAGCTGGTCCCCTTTTCTCTACAGGGCGGTGCTGACATGGGCAGGTAAGGGCTGCCCCCCGGGGGCAGGGGCTGGGCAGGGCGACTCCCCCAGGGAGAAGGGGTTACCTGCTCTCACAGCTTGAGGAGCGGGACTCGGAGCTCTGGGACCGGGAGGGATAATGGTGATGACGGTGACGGTGAGATTTTCGGGGCCGGCTTCGTGATCTTGGAAGGGGTGATGGGGAGCAAGTCAGAGGGGGAGAAGGGGAATGGGAGAGAGGGGAGGGTAAGAGGTAGGGAGAAAGGGAGAGAGAGATTTCGGTCTTGTGACACACATCATCCTCTTGCATCCAAGTCACTGTCCCTCGAAAGTTAGGCATCTCCTCCTACCTGCCCCCCACCCCGCATCTCCCCAGCTCTTCCCCTGGGTGTTCAGGGGCTCCAACCAGCCGTACGGAGCACGAGTGAGTGGCAAGGGTTCCTGTGGAGGAGGGGCCCAGGTGACTCAGACTCCCACCCTGCCGAGGCAGCCCTGATGGCGAGCACACGTGGACAGGAGTGTCACCTCCACTAGTCACCTCTCTCCCCCTGAAAGCAGGAGTCTCAATCTCAGTCAGCTACCCTAATGTGTGACTCAGTCAGGCGAGAGCTCAAGAAAGAAGTGGATGTGCCTCCAGAATATTGGCGTGCTGTTGGATCTTCTAACTCTTCAAATGAATGTAGAAATACAGACTTTTTTCATATAAAATATTTCTATTTTAAATGGAAGCTCTTTTTTTTTTTTTTTTTTAAAGACACTGTTTAGGGGAAAAGAAAACACATTTGCAGAGTAAATGAGGCCTTTGGCTGCCAATTTATAACCTCAGACCTGGAAAATTCAGTCCGGCTTTTTCACACGGAGTCAAAAGCCTACTTTCAGAGTTACAAACATCGCTGGCAACAAAAATTCTAACCACTTTATTACAGATTACTTCAGTTCCCCCCCTAAATGATAATAAGGACTCAGAAGTAGTAGCCACAGAGGCAGTGGTCACTGAGGATGTACAACGAATGTCAATGGTTTGGGCCAAGGCAGGAAGCCAGTGGGAGTTAGAGAGGGCTCTATCGGGAGGCAGTCTGGTTATCCCAATAAAGGACTCAGGGATTCTTGTTAATGTGATAAGCAGACCACATTCCTTCCCTGCTTAGAACCTTCCCATTGCCCTCATGTCAAATCTGCACTCTCATTTTGCACCCCAAGCACCCTGGAGGAGTCAGCCCCCATGACGCTCTCTAGCTTCCTTGTGTGACATCTTCTGCCCTGGCTGGGTGGACTTAAGCAAGTCTGAACTGCTTGTATTCTGGCTCATCTATGTCCCAGTTCATGATGTCCTTGTGATGGTGATGATGACAGGCAGCCCGTATCTAACACATACTGCCTGCCAGGCACCATAGCCTAAGTATTTTTCCTAAATGGACCCATCTCTTCCTCTCAACAGCCTATGAAGTAGGTTCTCTTATTTCCCAGATGAAGAAACTGAGGCACCGAGTTTAAACCACTTGCTTAACCTGCAGCCTAGAATGGTTACCTCCATCCTTACCCTCGATCTAGACACTCCCTCCTGTCGGACGCCCCTGCTCACCACCAAGCCCTCTCTCCAACACCAGAGCTGCCACGGTGCCCTGGGCTCCTGGTGGTCCCCGCTGTGTCGTGACCAGTCCCATGTCTCCTGTGTCCCGCTGGGAACTGTGAGCTCCTTGAGTCCAGAAGGATATTTGGCTACTCTCTGTCCTTGGGCCCAGCCCAGGGCCTGCCATGTATTAGGGCCTCACTAAGGGATGTCGAATCCAAGGAGGCTAAATCTCTCCAGTGATCGCTTGTTTAGAAGCAGCCCTGACCATGGGACTTGGCAAGAAGAACCATCCTTTATCCTAGCGGCACCTTGTTTTTCTTGCTCTTCCCTCTCCTGACCCTTGTCTTTTGGCTTGTGTAACCTAGCAATTTCTGGGACTTATCCAGCTCTTGGCACCGGGGAGGGTGGCCACGTTGTTGCCCTCAAGCAGGCAGCCCCTGCCTCAGTGATGATTCCCCCCCACCCTGCCCCCTCCGCTTGTGCTCTCAGAGTCTGAGTCTATCCCCTGGCTCTATCTATACTGCAGTCCCAGTGGACAAGTAATGCAGAGGTCTCTGAGAATACGCACTCTATCTGCGCTTAGCGTGAATGCACACCCAATACATATGACCAATAATTGTCTTTTGACTCAAATTGAACAAGCTTGATGATCGGGAAGTTGTTCCCTGAGCTAATTCAAAGTCTACTGCTTCCTTCTAAAGCGTTCCCCAGGCCCCCTGTGGGGATGGCTCAAATGTCCTCCTTTGCACTGACCTTGGATGAAGTGACCCTTCGGGCACCAAAACGGGGTGCCCTCCCTCTGCATCCCTGCCTCCTCTTTTCCCTCCCCAACAGCCAACCACCTTTCATCCTATTGCCTTTGATCCTCACTTTAGAAGCTTCTTGGCGGGAGATAAAATATTAGTTGATTGGAAAACACATGCACTAACATTTGCAGGGTATAAAGTAGGTGGGTTGTAACCACATTTACTTTTAATTTGTCTGGGAACTGAACTCTGCAGGCAGTGCTAGCTGATTTGAATTTCGACTACCAGCCATAAACCATGAACCAGCTGGGGCCCCAAGACCAGGGGTAGGAGCTTCACTGCCATCAGCCAAGGCTCGGACTCACATGCACGCTCACGCCTGTGCTCACACGTGATCATGCCCCCATCACCACTCACGCACACATGGCACACCTGTGTGCACGGGGAAAAGCCACCCCGCACCCACCCTCCCTATGCGTAACACAGGTAAGTAAGCAGCGCGCACGCAGCGTGCAGAAAATCAGCACCTCCGTGCACACTGTCTGTCTTCATGCTCACACAAGCGGGAGCCTAGAGAATGCATTCGTGTGAACACAAGTACATACCACACCCACACTACCCCCACGGCATACATTCGTACCCACAGTCACACAAATGTTTGCAGGAGGGAAAGATGTACAGAGGTCTACAAACAAGGTGTACCCTACACATAGACATCCTTCAGAAAAATATATACGTGGTGCCCGCCAGGCACACAGATGTACCGCAATCACTTTCATGCTCACACAAATGCATGCACACATGCATCGTATACACAGCCTTGTGCACTCACACATACCCAGACCCACAACTGCCGTTCATCTTGGTTCTGCCTCTTCCTGCCTCTGTTCCTCTCACCCACCCCCTTCTCCCTCTCCCTGTTTATTTGGCAACTCCAACACTCCAGCTGTTACGAGGCCAGGTTCCCCTCCTCCCCCAAACTGGAGAGAATTTTCCAGGTGGTCTCTACTTACTGTTTTTTGTGCCTCTTCTCATCCCTCCTTTTGCTTTTTGGGCTGGAGGAGCTAAAGGAGAAATGGCCAATTAATTGAAAGATGCAAAATTCCAGTTACAGTTAAAAAGAAACAAGTAGTTAAAATGCTTAACACACAGTGGCCACCAGATCCGGGCAGTTTGGGAACAGACACTAATCATTTCCAAGACCAGGGCAGTCACCGACGCTGACTTTTTCACCCAGCAGGTGCAGCTACAAACGGGGACCCGCACACGGACTGAGAATGGGGTGCGTCGGGGGCCATGGCAAGCTTTGGCAGCTTAATAAAAACAGTGGTAAATAAAGGTGATACCTGTCATTTTTCGAGGACTTCTTATAAGTGAATACTCTGCTAAATACTTTTTGTCAGCAATCTTATTTTATTCTCCCTGCAACCCATGGGAAGAGGCACGTTTAACGCGTACTTATTTTACAGATGGGGAAACTGAGCCTCAGCTAGGCTAAGAAACTTGGCCAGGATCATACAGGGGAGCTGGGATGTGGCCCCAGACCGTGGATCCCCAGAGCCATGCTGTTGACTGATGTTCAATCAATTTGTAAGAGAGAAGAATGGTATATGCAGGGATACTCTGAAGCTTCATGAAGCTTGGCAGATTCAGAAATGTTCTGCTCATCCATTTTTGTTTTTATTTTTAAATTTATTTATTAGAGAGAGAGAGAGCGAAAGAGAGAGCGCAAGAGGGGGTAGGGTTAGAGGGAGAAGCAGACTCCCCGCCGAGCAGGGAGCCCGATGCAGGACTCGATCCCGGGACTCCGGGATCATGACCTGAGCCGAAGGCAGTCGCTTATCCAACTGAGCCACCCAGGCGCCCTCGTTTTTGTTTTTTAAGTCAGAGGGCTGGGGTATGGGTCCAATGGACAGTGATGAGTCGGGGTCCCAGCATTATCAGCTAGAGGCCCCAGAGGGTGAATGCTATTTGGTAATATTGGCTTCAGAGGGTCACCAAGAATGGACGATGGGCCCCGGTCCTGGAGAGGGGGAAACCTCATCCAACTGAAATGGCACCTCGGCGTTAGCTGTGCGATTTCTCTCCACTCTTGAGACTCAGCCTGGGCCATGGAAGAGCCCAGGACCTCACTGAAAGATCCAGGCTCACGCCCCAGCTCTGCCGCTCAGTCGCTGCGTGACCTGAGGCAAGTTACCTGTCCTCTGGAAGACCTGGTTTCCTTGACCGTGAAGTGGGGCCATTGCTCAGGCTGCTGGGCTGAGGGGATGGATGACACTGGTAATCGCTCTCTACCTGTTAACTGGATAAACAGAAGGACTCTGCACTCTGACAATTGCTGCAGATTTGGCTGTTACTCAAGATACCAAGGTAGGGAGTCCTGATCCCCTGTCTGACAGATCTGGGCTTGCCACCTGACTGTGTCTGTGGACACACCTGTCACACCTCCTGCCTGAATCTCAGTTTCTTCATCTGTAAAATGGGAATAATAAACATATCCACTGTACCAGGTTATGAGGGAGATCAGCGGAGATTCAATGGGCACACACACAGAGCAGGGGCTCAGTGCAGGATCCAATTTATAGCGAGGACCCTGTCGGCGACAGCTCTATTTATGCTTACTTAGTGTTTCCAGTACAGTTGGACTTGGCTTCTGTCCCTTGGCTAGGATCTGGGGAGGCTTTGGCGGGATCGGGGTGCTGAGGTTTCCCGACATGCCCCAATCCGGGATTTCAACGAGTGCCAAAACGAACGAACTCTGACCAGGGTAGTGAGACTTTCCAGGGAGGGGCAGGGGTAGGGGCTGGTCGAGGAGCAGCCATCTGGCCTCACCGAAGTCAAAAGCTGGCTGGGAACTCTCAGGGAAACCAACCCAAGGCTTTCATCTTGGAGGAAACTGAGGCCCAGGAAGATGAAGGGGGCGTGACCAAGAGCACACCCCAGAAGCTCCCTAAAACCTTCTTAGGAAAGCAGGAAAGAGAAGCAAGCAGCCAGAGGTGAAAAGATTCTTACCTGTGCCTTCTCTTCTTGGAGAATGACCTGATTAAAGGAATTAAAAGGAAGAGAGAGAGGGAGGGAGGGAGGGGAGCGAGGAGGAAGGAAGAAAGGGATGGAGGGAGGATGAGAAGGAGAGAAGACAATAAACATAGGTGAGCTGAGGTTTTTTTTCCTGGGACAAATGTTATCAGTGCGTTTGTGATCATGCTACATGGAGGTCGGTCGGGACCCCCTCAGATTTCAAAGACCATATGGGAGACACTGGTTTGCATTTTGAATTTCCAGTCTAAACGACCAGTGCTTCAATCCTCACCCCAAATTGTCTGTGAGCCTGTCTCGGATGGGGGTGGATGTGGGGGATATACGGGAGTCCTCTGCCTCCTCCTCGAAACCCAGTCTCACCTTCACCTTTCTCTCCCTAGTGGTGGATTCTTCATCACCATCTTCCTCATTGTCAGGGACAACCAGCTCCCATATGTGGAACTCTCACTGTGTGCCAGGCTTTGTGCTAAGTGTCTCTCACACACAATCCCACTTAGTCTTTACCCAAACCCTGCGAAGTTCTACTAACAACCATTTTACAGACACTGAAGCTCAGAGAAGTTGAAGTTGCCCAAGGTCACACAGCTCCGTGTAACTCCTGTGGATTCTTCAGAGTTCCATTCAGATATCCCCTCCTTGTAGCTTTTTCTGATCCCCTCAGGCTGGTCGGTGCCAACTTTCTGCTCCCACAAGCTTGGGTGAGCTCTGAGCTTAGCCTTATAGTACACACCTCTGCCTATTAACATTATCCATCTCCCCGACTAGAATGTGAGCAACTCAAGGGCAAGGGCTGGATTTTGGTCACTGCTCTGTTCCCGGGGCCCAGATTCCTCATTCATGACACATATTAGGTATTCAATAAATAGATGTGAAAAATAGGATTTTTTTTTTTTTTTTTTTTAGCCCTGAAGCCATGCTAATTGAGGGGAAAAAAAGAAAAATCTCTATGCATCCCCCACCCCTGCTCCTATCTCCAAAACAGTCAACTATCATTAACCCAATATCTCAAGAGCTTGGAGAAGCTGGGCCAGAAGGAGGGTAGTGCTCAGCAGGTGCTTTGGAAAGGATCAGCAACAGTATCTCTTCCTCCTAATCTCCCATTGATGGGCCTCCTTCCCTCTCCACCTCCACCTCCTGGGCTGGCTGTGCCTGGCAGAAAAAGCCTGTTTCTAACCTTCTGGCACAGTCTCTTTTTCATGAGGAGAAACCCTTGAGTGAGAAGCCACTTGAATTCCACAATCCCGATACGGAGAAGTCCCCCAAACCGGGACCGATTGGTCAGCACAGGAAGGTGACAGGATGGCAGTCCCACTCAGGGGCAGGCCACTGGGAAAGGCTTCTAACACCAAATTAACAACCTTTTGCTCATCGGCTTGCCCACATCTTGTGTTAAGCACAGACTCAGCATCAGTCGAAATGTCTGGGACAGTGGACATAGCTGGTGAAACCAAACTGAGTTGAGACCATTCTGGCAACAAGGGCTGCGATGTGACCACGGCCCTGGCTTGGAAAAAGCCACTTTGGGGGAACTCTGAACCAGGGGTGAGAAGCAGGGGGAAAACCCAAATGAACCCTTACCTTTTGTTCCACTGTGACTGTCTAAGGGCAGAAGTAATCTACTGCTGATGTAGGGAGATTGGAAGATAGGGCTGAGCAAAGAGAGGACACACACCACTCTTCCCGTCATCCACAGCCAAACACAGCAAACAACTTATGTGCGGAATTTCACACTCCCTGCCCCCAGGGGCCCAGAGGGCTTCCTCAGTGAGGGGGGGCTCAGTGGGCTCAGACCTGTGCCCCTCTACGTGTAGGCTCAGACCTACGCTCTGTCTACATGCACAGCAACCCCTTAGCTTCGCTGATGGCTTCCTATGGGAAAATTAGTCCAGTGAAGACAGCTGCTGCTTTTTACAGAGGAACTGGAAAGCCTGATTTTTTTCATTGCACAATTTCCCAATTATAAAATGCTGAGTTGGCCCATGGACCACAGATATGAGTCCTCTGGTGTACATCCTTCCAGTCCTTTCTTCCCCATATATGTGTGTGTGTATGTGTGTGTAGGAGGCCCCTTTTGGAATGTGTGTCCAGTTCACAATGCCCCCAAGGGTGGACAATCCCAGAAGCCACATTTTACATGATCCCATCCTCAAGGACAAGTTGGTCCAACCACAGAGTTGGACCTTGGGAATTTGGAATGAGGAACAAATAAGACAGAGAGCTTCAGTGTCTTCTTGAGGCTGGGCCAGCCACACAGAGGGATGGGCGCAGGGTGCAGCCGGGTCTCCCCACGTGGACCAGGGACTGTGTATCCTGCCTGGGTGCTACCAGCTCTCCACTCCTTGGTTCTAGATCCTCACTGAGGCCTGGCTGGTCCCTGAGACATTCCTGTCTCCTTATCGTCAAACAAACCCCTTTCTGGCCAGAGTTAGCTTTAGGGGGCCTTGGTTCCTTGCACCCAGAGTTCCAAGTTATACAAGGAAAAGGAAATACCAACACACAGGTGAGTATCTTATGTAAGTGAAATGATAAACTTATCACCAGTGAACTTCTGGCGCCCCCCACTCTCACCCCAAACCCCCAGCCCACCTGGGGTGGACCTGATTGCCGAGGCAGAAGAACAATACCTGTGTCGCTTATGTTTTTTGGAGCCTTTCTTCTTCTTTTTCTTGACAGGCGATGGACTATATGACGGGGACCTGCGGGGGAAGAAGACACCTTCAGTGGGAGTTCCTTAAGGACCAGGGTTGGCTTCAGAGACCCTTCTCTAGCCCCCACACAGGATCTCACACACAAGAATCATACCAATCCTGATATTATCAGTACTTGCATTTACTGATTTGCTATAATCAGATTTGCATTTTTTTTCAACATCGCCCTGTGTTTTATATGCATTATCTCACTTCATCTTTCCACACGCTTCTTAGGCAGGCAGGATGGTTACCTTCTTTTTACAGACAAGGAAAGGAGGTTCAGACAGGTAAAGTGACTTGCCCAAAGAAAGACACACATCTAGGAAGTGGATGGGCCGAGACTCAAACCAATGACAGGGGCCTTGCTCTCAATCCCTTTATCATCCCTCCTCGTCAGGTCAAACACTTTGTGTCTGCTCTTCTCCACCACCCCCCACCCCCCCAGCTATGCCCCTCCTCTCAGATAGTTTAGGCCTCTTTTCTGCCTTACCCTGGCCCCCTGGTAAGATCGAGCCCCTGGAGAAGACCTCATCAGGCTGTGGTCAGCATGGTGCTATCAGGGGTTCCCCAAGAAACAGAGCCACCCCGGAACCATGATTATGACTATGATTCAAGACTGAGTTTCAAGTGACCTGAGTTCCAACCTTGACTGTACCCCCAATTCATGAAGTCACCTTGGGCCATGTCACCACCCATCTCTGGGTCTCTTATTTCCCCAGTGAGTGACAAAATACTGAGGTTGAAACAGGTGAGGATGCCAACAAGGGCCTCTCAGAGAGCAGGCTGGGTGCGAGACAATAGGGAGCAGTGGGGACCATGGTGAACCAGAGAGCATCTGCTTCTCAGATCAGCTGAAGGTCTTGTGTGGGAATGCAGCCCTGGGCTTCTGGAACACCTGCCTTTTCAACAGAGGTCACCAGAAAAACATAACTTCATGTGAAATCCCCTGGTTTTTAAATGCTGGCCACCAATTAAAAAGACAAAAGAACATCTTGTAGGTCAAAGAGAACAAATCTACAGGGGGAAACGCAGGGTTGAGAACAACCTGACTCTTAGGGACCCACAACACCTGTCGCCAAGCACATCAGTGAAGCCTGACTTCCTTCTTTCAAATGTTCTGCCCACCCCTAAAATCAGGAGCTTCAAGCCACTTGCCCCAATTCCTCCCTTCACCCTACAACATAGGGTCTTCATTCACATTCCCTTCTGGGTCTTCTTTGGGCCTGTCCTCTTCCAACCAGGCTGTGGAGGTGGCAAGAACCCGGAAAACTGGAGGTGGGGCCAGAGTCATCCAGACTCTACTCTCTGCTGCCCCCTGCAGGCTCCTTCAAACAGGAGGAGCCTCCCAGGTTCCGTGTGATTTTCAACCTACCCCTCTGGGTCTGGAACACTGGACATGATTTTAATCTAGCGGGTGGCAGCGTGGAAGAAAACCTGGAAATATTTTTAAACTTAAAAAAATTAAAAGGAATTGTACATAGAAAAAAATCCATGGGGTACATAAGAGTCTGTCGCCGGCAAAAAATATAAAGTCCGTTTGTTATCGTTGGCATTCGCCTGCTAGGCGGGAGTAGCAGAAGCAACTGAGGAGCCTGGGATCCCTGTAAATTCTGTCACCCCCTCCCTGTGCCTTTCTTTTCTCATCTCTGAAATGGGGACAATAGTGTTTGGTAAATCGTGGTCAAAGGTGAAAGACATCATGGAGATCACAATGCTTATAGCATAGCCCTCTACACAGAAGAAGTTCTCAAAAAAAAAAATCAATATTCATGGTCTTGAATATGCTGATTACACTGGTCATTTACTATGTGCCAGACACTGTGACAGTTCCTTCCACATCCATTTTTCTCCATCTGATTCTCACAAAACGCCAAGAGGTAGGTACTATCACTATTTTATACAAGTGGAAACAGGCACAGAGAGGTGAAGGTACTTGCTTAAGGTCACACAGCTACTGAAGAGGCAGAGCGGGGATTCGAACCCAGGGGGAGTCACTGTTTGACTCTGAAACCCATCTGACCCCTATTTGGTCCTTTCTCCCATCTTCAAGGTTTCATGCCCCTTTAGGACGCTCACCTCCTTCTCTTCTTCCGGGTGGATTTCTTCTTTTTCTTCTTCCCCCTTGGTGGCGTCAAGTCTTTGTCTCGGGAGGCACTGTGGGGAGCACAGAGTTGGGTTTTAGAGGACCCAGCATGCCCCAAGCCCCCCAACCAGGCTGTTGCAGCCAGGGAAGAAGGACCCAGTTCCTTGGAGGCTGAAGGACCCATGGTGAATACCTAATTACCACCTCGTGGCTGATTTGGTCATACTTCAGATTAAGTGCCTCAAATAAGGTGTTAATGCCGACCTAATGAGACAGACGCTCCCCTGTTACCCAAACACCAATTGATTATTTAAAACAGAGTTATAGAGGTTAACTGCTCCTTAATAGATTTATTATTGAATTTGCAAATGGCTCACCTTGGTAAATAAATCACTTTTTAAATAATTAATCGGCAGTTCAGCCCCCTCTTTTCCCAATACTTCATGTCCATAGTTCCTGCTGGAAATGTAATAGGAGGAGGAAGTTATTATGTTAAGTAGGAGCTGATTATTAAAAGTATACTTGCCGAGGTCTAATGTAATGAGATACGTATCTTATATCGCTTCACAGAACCTCAAAAACCTCTGCTCTTCAGGAAAAATTATTTCCCACTCAATTAAATTCAAATGCTCGGGCTGCAGTTAAATGAAGTCAACTTATCTCCTTTTATAATTGGGGCAGGCTCCAGGGCTTTTTTAAAAACACTATCCCATGGCGAAAGGAGATGGGTTTGGGATAAAAAATTGCTTGGGAATTGAAACATGCCCACCCAGTTGAACTTGACTGGGAAAATGTAATATTAATAAGAATACCATTGCCATTTTTTAAAATTAATTTATTTATTTTTATTTTTTATTTTTTTAAAGATTTTATTTATTTACTTGAGAGAGAGAGAATGAGAGGGGGGATAGGGTCAGAGGATGAAGCAGACTCCCCGCCGAGCAGGGAGCCCGATGCGGGACTCGATCCCGGGACTCCAGGATCATGACCTGAGCCGAAGGCAGTCGCCTAACCAACTGAGCCACCCAGGCGCCCACCATTGCCATTTTTAATGATAACACCACTACCATCTATTCGCTTATTATGTGCCAAGCGTTTGACATTACCTTTATACTCACAAAAACACTTGGAGGGTGGTATGATTTTTAGGGTCTCATTTTACAGGTGAAGAACATAAGGCGCAGAATCCTGAACTGGCTTGCCCATAGCTGCACAGTTAGGAAGCATCTGAGCCGGGATTTGAGTGAAGGCCTGTGTGAGTCCTATCCCGAGGGCTTTCCCACACAGCCAACTGCCTTCCCAACCCTGGTTATGTGGACATTCTTTTGGAAACCGCCCAGCTCTTTCAAGACCATCATGCAACGCGGCCATACTGAATTCCATTCTAAGAATCTGGATCATTATGGTTAGTGGGAAAAAATCCCCAAGTGACTAGACTGTATGGGAAGGTCTCTGCATTGCCAATGAATGAAAATCATCTAGCTGTACGTAGAATATTTTTAAGGGAGTCACTTTAAGCAGGTTAAGATAAAATACCACAGGGATTAAGCACCTAGCTCCTTAACTACACTCACACATTATAAAGCATAAAGCACAGCACACACATCCAGGAAGCAAACAGGTTGCTTGTATAAATATGGTAGACCGCATCCGAATGTCTCCAGCACCAAGTGCTCGACACAGAGTAAGAGCCTACTAAATATTTGTTGGGTGACCAAATGAGGGATGAATGGATGAAACAATTTAGCCTCTTGTTAAATTTTCTTGTTTCATATAAACACTGCCCAGGGTAACTGTTGCCGGGAATTTGAGAGGAAAAAAAAAAATTTAAGGGAGAAATACTTAAGGGAAAAAAAAGACCCTTAAAACTGTGTCTTATAAAATAGAGAGAGATCTCATTTTTTTCAGACAATTATTCTCACTGCTTTCTGGAATGCCAGGGTCAGGGAAGCAGGCTTGGGAACCATTATCTTACACTCCTACGTGAGTGATGGAATAAAATGGAGAAAGACCTTGAATGTGGATCGATTTGAGGTCTGTGAGAAGGGGAAAATTAACCCCTTACATAGATCCCAAACACCTTTATAGAGGTAGGTCTGCATTTCCTCTACCTTTTTCTTCCTCCTGTACCTGTGTGCCTAGGTGTACTGTCCCAGCAGGGCTGGAGGGGCCGGGATAGTGGTTAAGTAAATAGACCGCAGTTACACAAGCAGCAGGGAAATAGGCAGCCATTAAGTATGCAGTGATGACCTAGAGTGGTTCAGTCCACGGTGGTCAAAAATAGAGTATGCAACAGTAAAGAATGCTGGTTCTAGAAGCTGCCACACCTGGATTTACATTCCTGCTCCATTACCTCCTAGCTCAGCAACCTCTCTGAGTCTCATTTTCATCATTTGGAAGATGGGAATAAAACGTGATACCTGTGTCCTAAGTTTAGTCATAAGAAATGAGGACCTCACTCATGCAACATGCCCTGGGTCTGGCACGGAGCAAGTTCATATAAATGTCCTTTCTATTATTGTAATTATGCATAGTAACACAATTACCATTTATTCACTGATTATATGCCAAGTGACTTTTATGATCACTTTTAACATTATTGCCATTATGGTGTTTTTTATCATGTCAGAGAGTAGGTCTTCTTCAGAATTCAGGTTCTCAACTAGACAGCCTTGTTCATGGGCCTCAGAGGTCTAGGAATCCTCAAGTGGTAGATGGAATTTGGGGAATATTCCTGGAGCATATACACTTGCCCTGGGCACAGCACTTCTAGCTTCCATGTAATTCTCAAATGGAATTTGAGAACCTCTGCCCTAGGAAACCAAGAACTCTAGGACATAAGGAGAGAATCTGGGCCAGATCAGGGGTCCTCAGGCTCATCTTGATCCTACCACATACTGTCCTCAGTTTCCACATCTGTAACATGGCTTTGACACCCTCTGATTCAACAGGGAGAGACAGGGATTGTATCTGGGGCACACTGCTGGCAAGGACACTAAATTCATTTCCCACCTGTCACTGAGCGGGTAGATACAAGCCCAGGGCAGCGAGAGAGTGGTGAGTTAGTTTGAGGAGTAGGAATAAAGCTTTCAACCGGCTGGTGAAGCCAGATGATAAAGATGGTGTTGTTAACAAAATCGATTCTTCAGAGGCCAAAGACAGACTAGGCTTTTTATGTGCACAGTGCAAAATTTAAAAATAGAAGTTAGGGGATAGACTGGTTTCTTCATTAGCATCAAAGTAAAATGTGTAGGTGTTCATCTAGGATTTAAGATCAGAGACCATAGTTCAAAACTTCACTCTGCCACTTACTGGCTGCCATATTTTGGGTAAGTCATGTTACCTCTCTGAGCCTCAGTAAAATGTTGTGTCTTTAGATACCAGCACAGTGCCTGTCACTAGCAGGTGCTCAAGCAATCCTGGTTGAATATCTGAATTTAAGGAATGAATGCAAAGATCCGAATCTCAGGAGACAGATGTAGGCTGAAGTCATGACTTGGAAATCAGTGGCTTATAGAGTCATAAAAATGGACAGGAACTAGCTCTATCATTTAAGGCAGGGGCAACAAATTGTGGCCCCTGGGCCGAATCCAGCCGGTCTCCTATTTTTATAAATAAAGTTTTATTGAAACACATCTATGCCCATTTGTTCACATATGGACTGTGGCCGTTTTGGTGCTACAATGGCAGGATTGAGGAGCGTGGCAGAGACCATCTGGCCCTCACACCTAAAAGCTATCTGTACTCTATAGAAAAAAATTTGCTGACTTTTGATTGGATTTAAGGGTCTGAAAGAGGAACTTGCAAAAGAGAGGTGCGTGGGAAGAGTGGCCAGGAAGACAAACTTCATTTCTGCATCCTCCACTTGAACTTCCTCACTGGACCAAAAGAGAGGGTGGGGGCCGTGTCTCACCTGCGTGCTCTGGCAGGACTGAGCTCCTGGCAGGCCTTGTCTCTCTCCAGGCTGTTGGTGCCCAAGGCCTCAGTGGCCAGATGCTGGCTCAGCTTCTCCGAGGGTCCATCCTGAGCTGGAACCAGAGGGCTGCTCTGGGGTTCTGTCCTACAGGGGAACAAATAAGGAGACAGAAACTGTTAGGATGTGACAGATTCTTTTCTTTTTTTAAGGAAGAGAATGTGCACCTGAATGGGGGTGGGGAGGGGCAGGAGAGGGAGAAAGAGAATCTTATAACTCAGGGCTCCATCTCACAACCCTAAGATCATGACCTGAGCTCAAATCAAGAGCTGGATGCTGAACCAACTACCCAGGTGCCCCAGGATAGGACAGATTCTTAACGTTAATCAAACATTCACACACCTCCTGATATTTCCCACCTTTCCTTGCAGTTAGGTTGGGACAATGAGAGATTATCTTGGCCACTGGTCTCTGGGTGGGAGTGACATGTGTCACTTCTGGCTTGAGGCAATAAGGTCTGTGTACCTTCCCCAGCTCTCTCTCCCTCTATTGCAGTGATGTTGGAGGCCACATACCCTGAAAGGTGAAGCTACTTGGTGGAGGAGAGATGCCTGAGCCGCATCAGACTTTGTATGTTAGAAATAAGCCTTAGTTGGGTTAAGCCATTGAAATTTAGGGGCTTATTTGTTACTGCGGCATTGCTGGGCCTACCCTGACTGAACCACAGGGAGGGTCTGGAAACCAGTGTTTCACTTCCTTGCTCAAAACATAAGTGGAGGCTGAAGCATGATAGGATTAGTTCCAATTCCCCTTTACCTGTTCTGTCCCATTTCCCTGCCTTATCTCTGTATGGAATGGATATCCCTGGATTCAAAACACTGTTCTCCCTTTAGTAGATAGAGGACTCAGTTTCTCTGTCGTGCATCCTCACTGATTAAGATAGAGAATAACATTAGTCCTTACATTGTTGAGTTGTTATGAAAATAAAATGAGATACCATAAAGCAAACAGAAAGGCTGTTCCATTTCCCTTTACTTCCTTGTGAACCAAACCTCCACTCTGGCGTCCCTAGCAGGTGGAAGGCTACCTAGTTGGGACGCAATCCCCATGAAGGCCTCAAGTTCCCTCCTCTGCCTCTGAGAAGAGCCCCAGGCAACTCTAGGAAGTTACCTGAGTCCCACCTCCTTCTTTGAGTCCCGAAAAGGGGTTAGGAAGTTGCCTAGGTACTCAGTCTTTGAAAACACCATCACTCACACCTCCGAGCCCCCAAACAAGAGGAGTCAGGAGTTGGAGAGGCAAAGGTGGATTTGGCACCATCCAGCAAACTCCCCTCCCTCCTCATCCTGCCCGCAGAGTCCAGATCAAGCACTGATCAAAGACATTAGTATTTCTCCTGTACCAAGCACCTGTAGTCAGTGCACCAAGACTGGTTTTATGACTCAGGGTGAATGCAGCTGATAAGCCCCCTGCTCCTTAGGGCTGCCCAGAGAGCAGGCCAAACCCAGTCAATATTGAAGGAAGGGCAGCCAAACACATCCATCTCTGTCAGCTGCTTATCAGGGCATCTTTAGAAGCAGAGCTGAGAGAGGCTGCAAGCCCAGGAGGGATGGAGAGTCTTGTCAGGGCTGTCCAGCCCTCCTCACTGCCACCTCTGGGCTTCCAGAACTCCAGGGTTCCCTATACCTCCTGCCCTGCTTCTCCTACTATGAGGGGTCCGTTCCCATGCCTCCAGTCTACTCATGTGTAATGCTGTCCTGACTCTTCTCAAACGACTATGAGCTTGCCATGTCTGCCCAGCCCCCAGCAAGGCTTGCCTCTTCCCATGCTTGACCTGGCCTGGCCTAACCTGCGTTCCAGGCCAGTTCTAAGTGTGGGGCTGCAGCAAATAAGAGGGAGATGTCCTCTGTGATAATGGAGTTTACATTCTAGATGAGGAAGCAGGCATAAGCATATATGCAAGTAATAATATGACTTACTGGATGGTAATAAATTATGGAGAGAATAAGCCAGTGGAATGGGAGGGGGTGACTGTTCTTTTGTTCAGGGTATCGGGCAGGCCACTCTGAGGATGTCATGGAATGGAGGCTTAAAGGATTAGGGACTAACCTTGCAGTTTGTGGTGGTTTTAAAATGTGTTCACAGATTCTTTGACAGCTCTGCCATCAAAAGATGAAACCAATTTCCCTCCCCTTGAATACTGGCTGGGCTTAGTGATTCACTTTTAATGACCAGAAGGTAGTAGAAGCGATAATGTGTGATTTCCAAGACTAGGTCACAGAGGCAGCTTCTGCCTCGCTCCCTTTGGATTGATCACTTGAGGGAAGCTGCCGGCATGGTGTGAGGACACTCAGGCAGCTCTGTGGAGAAGCCCTTGTGAAGAACAGCTGAGGCTTCCTGCCAAAAGCCAAGCACCCACCAGCCATGTGGGCACGCCACCTTGGAATTGGATCCTCGAGCCCCAGGCAAGCCTCAGATGACACTGCGGCCCTGGCTGACATCGGACTGCAGTCCCATGTGAGATGGTCAGCCAGAGTCGCCCAGCCAAATTCTTGACTCGCAGAAACTGTGTGACGTTGTTTGTTGCTGTTCTAAGCCACAAAGATGTGACGGGATAATCTGTGGCCCGGTAACAGACAAGTTCTACACAGGTCATCTGCGGGAAGTGGGAAATGCACTCTAGGCAGAAGGAATGGCAGGTTCTTTATATACATGTAAAGAATGGCAAGCAGGGCTAGAGTGAACAGAGGGGGAGACCAGAGATTGGGTCTTGTAGGTCATGAGACTCTGTGGCTGAGATGGAACGCCTTTTGAACAGGGGAGTGACCTGGTCCGGCTTAATTTTACAAGGATCGCTCATCAGTTGCTGAAGACACTGGACAGAGGGAGGAGCAACAGAGATGGGGAGACTAAGGCAACTGTCCAGGCTCTGATCAGTGGGTCAGGGATGAAGGTGATGAGATGTGGTCAGGTTCTGAGACTTGAAAGCAGAACTCGCATCATTTGCTGCTGGTTAAACATGGGATGGGAGAGAATAAGGGAAAGGGAGAGGTCAAGGACGATTCCAGGGTTTTGAGCCCGAGCAACAGGCAGGACAGAGTCCCCACTGATGAGGTGGAGATGCTGATGTTGGGAGCAGACTTCTGGGGCGATCTAAGCCCTGTTCTAGGATATGAGTCCCTTTGCTACTATGACTACAGCTCCAAATAGGCACTATGGACGTCTGATTGTCTTCTCTCACACTAGACTATGAGCTCCCTGGGAGGGGGACCGTGTCTCACCACCCCAGGGCCCGCCGTGTGGTAAACACTCAACATTTGCTCAGTGAATAAATGAAAGAGCACATTGGCTAAAAAGAACAGGCATTTGTTTCAAAAAGTTAGAAAGGGCTTCTGAGATGGCCTGAGCGAATCCCTTCATGTTACAGTTGGTGGAGATAAACCAGCCACTGCCTCGGTCAACTCAGACAGCTCAGTCGATGCATTTTCTACTCTACCCCATATTTCTCTTAGAAAAGTGATCAGTGAACTTATCAATGTATGAGTGTATTGCCCAGGAGGGCCTTAAGCTGGATGCACACAAGAACGGAATTTTGGACTCTCGGGCATTATAGGAAACCATTACACAAATCTGTATCAGAGACAAGCCCCAGATAGGAAAAAAAACAAAAAACCAAAAAAACAACAAACTGATGTGAGCAATTTGGCAGAGAATTAATCCATGATGAGTATAAGTGCTGGCATTGTGTGGAAGGTCTCAGTGACTTCCGCTAATGGGGGGAGGAGGCGTGGGTTATCTGCAGTGCAGGGACAAGTGGGGAATGCTCCTGCCAGGCACTGGGGGACAGGGCTTAGGGTGAGGATGACGCCTCATCCATCACTGCTGGCATCAGGGATGGGCAAATCATGATGGTTTGATGAGGAAAGGTACGATGGAGTTGCTGCATTTATAATCTGACACTCCCTGACATGGTGGATGGCTCTCATTTTCTTTCTCTCTTTCTTTCTCTCTTTCTTTCTCTCTCTCTTTTCTTTCTTTCTTTCTTTCTTTCTTTCTTTCTTTCTTTCTTTCTTTCTTTCTTCCTTTCTCTCTCTCTCTCTCTCTCTCTCTCTCTTTCTTTCTTTTTTTAAGATTTTATTTATTTATTTGAGAGAGAGAGAGCACAAGCAGGCCAAGAGGCAGAGGGAGAGGGAGAAGCAGGCTCTCCGCTGAGCAGGGAGGCCGATGTGGAGCTCGATCCTGAGCATGATCCTGAGATCATGACCTGAGCCAAAGGCAGATGCTTAACTGACTGAGCCACCCAGGCGCCCCTAGTTCTTATTTTCTATAGCATTTCTGTAGCACCTTCCTTGCAGTAGGTACCCATTCTGGGATCTTGCAATAAAACAAACAAAAAACAAACAAAACCAGAATTAATTCTTCTACCTGGCAGACAGGGAGTTGTGAGGGATGGAAGAAAGGAAAACTCCACAATATCATAGAACTTTTAAGATGCTTTTTAAAGATGTTCTGACACGTTGCTTCTCTGCTTTCTTAAAACTGGAAGAGACTCAGAGAGCATGTAGTCCCAGGTTTCTAAAACCTTGCACATCTTCAGAGGCTCCCAAGAAGCTGGTAAAAATACAGACGTCTCAGTCCCATCCCAGCCATAATAAATACAAGTCTCAAAGGGGTGAAGCCAGGAAATATGCATCTTAAAGAAACATCCCTGGTAATATATCCTCCTCTGGATTAAGAGGAAGTCCTAACCGATTACCAGAACTAAAAGGCTCTGCCTGACCTGGCTTCTGCTCCCACTCTAGACCCCATCTGCTATCCTCCTCTCTGTCCCTTACTCTGCTCGAGCCACATGGCTTCCTGGCTGTCCCTCACATGGAACAGGGCCTTTGCTCAGAGCCTCTGCCTTTCTGTTCCCTCCACCTGGCATGCTGTTCCTGCAGTTCTTTGCAAGGCCGCTTCCTTCCTTTCATCCAAATGTCAGCTCCTTGGAGAGGCCCTCTCTGACCCGCTCTTTGATTGTGCCCCTCTGTTCATCACTGCCTCCAGCACAGGAGTCTGCTCTGCCTTCCTCCAGGACATTTGTTACTATTTGAAATGACCATTTTATATGTTTATTTGCTAACCATTTGTCTTCTGGATGCCAACGTGAG